GATATAACAACCCGAAAATTTAAGTTGTCCCTTAAATTTTATATTCGTATTATTTAATTATAAATGAGATTATTGGTAAAAAAAACAATTACTTAAACTTATCCATTTGAGGATAAGCTTGAGTTTAAGGCATAATAATGGCAAGGTGACATGGCGTGACTACGTGTCACTCAAAACTTAATGAGCAAGTAGTGTACCCTGGTATATAAGGAACGGTGATGCTATGGATAGAACATGGAGAAACAAACAGAGACGGGGGGAGAAAATACTAGGAGTAAATAAGGCCTTGATAGTGGAAAGAAAGAGTGAGGTATTAAAGTTAAGGTGCGTTATATTATACCTTGAGTCACCATAATATATTTTACGTATGTTTTGACCCATAATTTATTTTATAAAAGTTGTGTTTTATAAATTATATTTATATTTCAATTATGTGGATTAATTTCTGAACTCTATTTATTTAAAATGAAACTCATGGATACGTTTGTTTAACTTTTAATGATTATTTGACTTTGACCTTATATACAATTATGTTTTATAAGCACCACCATGGGAGTCTCACGCCGTAGGGGACTTAAATAACCATTGACTTCTGTTTGGTCACTTTGTGACCCTCTATTGTCATGGATCTATTGACCTCTGCTCTGTGCAGAGATAAGTGCTACACTATTGTAAGAGCCACCTTTATAATCCGTACGAGCCACCTATTGAATCTGTACCTCTATTCTGACTGTCACTCCTGTGATCTCTGTTCTGTTCTGTTCGGTACCGTGGTTATGGTTATTTATTTACATAATCTCAGTTTTGCTACTTAAATGATTATTTGTTCAGACTAAGTTATCTTAAATATTTTAGTTACATAACTATCCATGATTATTTTGTGTCATTTATACTCTTGGTACAATATTTCTCACTTTGCCATGTGCTTATAGCTGTTTACCAATTTTTAGGAAACAATGCAATTCATAAATAGCTTTTGGAAAGTCAGGTTGCGGAATAGACACACACAACACTTTTATAATATTTTTATATGTAAATATTGGCCTTTTTGGTCAATAAATTTTGTAATAAAAATAAAAACTCCGATAATTATTTTGGTACCCTCACTTTAATATTATTTCCGTTCGTGTTTATTAATTTATTCAAGAATTAGCCGGAGGTAACTTCAGTTATTGGCCATCACAATACTTAACCCTTGGGTACGGAAAGCGGGTTGTGACAGTTGATCCATGGGATCTATCACTAATCGCGATATAATAGTTGATTCCCAATGTCGATATTGATCTAGTGTCTCGTTATTGTTATCAATTAATGAAATCCATTGTCAATCATGCCATTGTGGTCAATAGAAAGGAAATGAAAAGTGAGGGAGAATATGGTTGTGGAAAGAGGAAGATATGACATTACATTAGAATAGAGAGCAGAAGAATAATAAGCTATGTAAAAGAGGTGGTAAAGGAGAATAAAGTGATCAAAAGGAAATAAAAAGCTAGGCTATAGAAGAAAAGAGGGGTATGGGTGTGATGTTGTGTAATCCACTCCATAGTTTTTGATAAATGATAATGGTGATATAGTGTGACGCCCCAAATTTTGATAACATAATACAACAATACACCAGGGTTTAACTAGCGGATACACATCATTTTTAAGCACAAAATACAAATAATTACACTAAAAGAAAATATTAATAATAGTTACAAATAAAATTCTTCAAGTTTTTAAATACAAATCAATTCCTTAATACAAAAAGATTATCCAAAATACAGGAAATATAAAATCTAATCTCTAAGGCAGCCAAGGAGAGGGTGAGAGAAGGAGAGTGTGATTAGGGGGAAGTAGAGAAGAAGAAGAAGAAGAAGAATGAAGAAAAGGAGAATAGGAAAAAAATGTGCTTTCTTGAGTCAAGGTAAGAACACTTCTTCCTCTTGTCTTCTCCATCTCTTTCACCATCTCATCCTATTGTTTAGATACCCTCTTGTGTTGCATATTAATGTTAAATAGGGTTTTGGTGTGTATGAAAGGGTGGGTATGAACTAGTGACATTGTCTTGCAAATTTGTCAAATTAGGCACTACTGTAACTTCTCTAATTTAAAAGAAATGTCAAATTTATTTATTTCTGAAATATGAATTTAGTGTAGGCTATGTGGTGTGTTTAGAGCTTCTGATAATTTTATTAGCCCCTAAATGTGTGTTTTTAGGGCTTAGATATTTTGTTTAAAAATCTGGTCCTGAGTCTCTGAAAAACAGTCCACTTCTTGCAATTTTATAAAATTCTATAAAAATCATCTCATGTTGGTTCTTCTGTCAAAATTTAGAATTCTGAGTCCTGTTTCCAACAGAATTTATTTGGGTGAAAATCATTGGGTAGATTGAGAGGAAAGCTAGTTTTCCTAAAGGGTGACAAATCTGGACATGTTTTGAATATAGCTTGTAAATGAATTTCTGGAGGTGCTGTGCAAATTCTGGGAATTGGAACTGAAACTAGACAGGTTGATTATTGTTTCTGTGCAATTTCAGCCCCTAATTTGACCTGGAAGTATTTTTACCAAAGCATTCTTGTTAGCCCTGCAGAACTGAATAGTGCTGAAAATGGTGTTTTATTGTGCTATTTGTCTCCATGTATTTCAAAGCATGCCTAATGTTGTTTGCTTGCCTTACCATACTTATGTATGATTATCATGGACTATATTTCCTCTCTCTTGTTTGTCTCATGCTCTTTTATATTACCGAATTACCGAATATGACTAACTTGCTTGACAAAAGATCTAATAAACAAAAAATGATAAGGGATTGGCAATGGGTGACGTTCACACTAGTGTTGTAGAATAATTTATACATATGAATGACATGAATTATGATGGGATTAAAACCAAATGAGTTAAGTCTTGCGCAAGTGGTCTAAGTGAGCCCCTAGGTTGACACGGATGTATTCAGACTCTTTGCGGTAGTTTCAGGGTGTAAGCGAGCCCTTTGATATGGTATGTGCAGGGTGTAAGCAAGCCCTAGGCATGATTTGGTATAGTATGTGCAGGGTGTAAGCGAGCCCTAGGCACGATTTGGGTGTAAGCGAGCCCACTTGTTTGGCTATCCCTTTTGATGTCTATCAATGTCACTGACCAGTAAATAACCGGGAGGTGTGCATAGGTGGTAAGGTCTACAAAGCAGCGAAAGGGGAAGTTCTGAATAGTCCGGTGTTCAATCTTTGTGGTTGGGTAGAAGGATCTCTTTGGGGGATTGTAGATGTCTAGTCTAACTACTAATTCATAGATCCTTATTGTAAGATTGTATATTATGTTACCTGATTTGTTCTATGTATGGTTGACTGATTGATAGAAGACGTGAGGGTGTGTGGGCATTCCAAGCTCATGGCGTGTCATGTCAGGTGATGAAGCAGTTTACAATGGTGAAGGTTATTTCGAAGGCAAATAAGATGAAGTGCTGGAGCTGTGGTTCATTTGAAGACTTAAACTAGTTGTTTTTCTTTTTTCCCTTCGACTATGGGTTTGGCAATGTTTTGGTAATCCTGTAATGAAATATAAACGAATTATCTGTAATATTAACTCTGATTATATAGGGTAAATTACACAAATAGTCCCTATAATTTGGGGCTTGTGTCACTTTGGTCCCTGACTTTTCAATTGTGACACATTTGACCTTGAATTTTGAATCTTGTTCCAAAAAAGAACAATTGAAGTTACCATTATTTAATTTCAAGGGCAAAATCGTCAATTTAATAAAATATAAACTAATTTGACAAAAATAAATGTCAAAAAAATATTTTAAATTTTTTAAATATTATTTTTATCCACCAATGATAAAATTATGTAAAATTGATAAAAATTAATAAAAATTACATGATTAATTTTTTAGAATTAATTTTACATGATCATCATCCAAACACATAATAAAAATTAATTTGGTAAAAAAAATAAATAAATGTTTAAAAGATTTATCAATTTTACATAATTTTATTTTTAGTGGGTAGAAATAATTTTTTAAAATCCAAAAATATTTGTTTGACATTTATTTTTGTCAAATTAGTTTATATTTTATCAAATTGACGATTTTACCCTTGAAAATCTAATAATATTTTCAATTGTCCTTATTTGGAACAAGATTCAAAATTCATAGTCAAATGCGTCACAATTGAAAAGTCAGAGACTAAAGTGACACAAGTCCCAAACTACAGGGACTATTAGTGTAATTCACCCGATTATATATGTATATTAAGATGCTTTAGTTATTTATCCTATTTGTGTTGTATTATTGTACGTATTTAATAGCTCGAAAGTTGGGGTGTTACATATAGTGTGGTCGATTTCATTTAGGATTAACATTTAATTGAAAGAGCAAATGATAGTCTGCCATGTCTTGGGAAAAAAAATTTGTTGATAAGTTAATGGAACAAGGACAGATGGTTAAAATTGTACACGACTACAAATTTTAGAATTTTATTTGATAAAATTAAAAATGCAGGATTTAATTTGCTATAAGAGTTAAAACTTGAGACTATTTATGTAATTTCTCCTAAAATTTTGTATTAACAAAAGTACCATTTTATGCATGTGGAGAAGTCCACTTTCCTCTCTTTCCTTTCAAGCTTGTTTTCGTTCTAGCGGCGCTTTGTATTAACAAAAGTACCATTTTATGCATGTGGAGAAGTCCACTTTCCTTTCAAGCTTGTTTTCATTCTAGTGGCGCGGAGGGGGGGGTTTAAGGTCTCGTTTGGCAACCGAATTTTTTAGTCACAAAGTCAAAAAATTACTAAACATATCAAAAAGTCAAAAAGTCAACAACTCATACCAAAAAGCTAACAACTCATACCAAAGAGTCAAAGATTCTCTTTTCTCTCTACTTTTTGCACATCTTTTCGTAAAAAGCCAAAAAAATCATCCCAAACATACTAGCTTTTTTTAGCTCATATTTTAGCCAAATAATTAAAAAGTTATTAAATTAACCTGTTCCCAAACAAGGATATGTTTCCTCAAATACCAACACAATATACACAAAAGATTAATGTTCTCAAATTTACATCTTTGGTATATTGCTTTGAAACACAAGTAACACCTTCAGTTTTTTCTGATATAGATAAATACTATAAGAAAATACAAGAAAAAAGAAAAAGAAAAAGAAACATGCAAGGAAAGTATGACAAACAAAAAGTGAAAACCCTCCTCACAATCCAAGCCAAGTTCATCCTTCTTGTTGGTTTGCCCACTCATACAAATTTTAGGAGTCCACCGAGGCAGACAATCTTGGCGACGAAGTCTCACCCAATGAGACAGATGCCAAGGATGATGCCCAAACCCGAGCACTTCTAGCTCCATCATGGAATTTTCTGGTTTTACACAGCTTCAGTTTACACCAAACTCTCTTTACATCGATCAAGTAGAGAACACGCCCCAAAATCTGGCTCGACTCTCCAAAGATTCTCACATTTAGATGTGGTACGAAAGTGGACCACAAAGCAATTACATGATGTATTATCTCTGGGAAGAAATATAGGAGTACCCTGAAAAAGAGAAACATTACTGAGAAAACTAGGTAAGGTTCCCTCATCAATATCTCCTTTAAAGAGTTCCCTTTCCAAGAGGGAAACAGTTTATGACCACTGTCTGAGTAGCTCCCTTGATCTTCAATCAAATCCACTACTGGGTCAAGTCCTGAAACAGAAAAAGGGAATGGAGCAAAGCCATGATTTAATTTACCTGAAAAATAAAATGCAGAGCAAAACTGGAGAGCCAGTGTAAATGTAATCATTCTATCGTACTCCATTTGATCTAAATCCCATTCAGGCTGTGTTTGAATCTAGAATTTGGGTAGAGATATGTGGAGAGAAAATGAAAGACGAGGAGAATGTGAATGAAATTTAACTTAGCTTATCTTTTGTTTTCCCTCCACAAATCCCTACCCAAATCCTAGATCCAAACATAGCCTTCGTGAAGTCGTTAGGGAAAAGGAAACTGGCACAAGAAAAATGTGAAGGACACTACATTGGTTCATTTATATCCTAGGAGTACCTTTGAATGTTAAATTGTTTTGAAGGCGAAGAGACATTTTTATTGATATATAAAAATAAAACAACAGGACACCCCAATGGTTTTGTGGTCACAATTAAGTAATTTACTTGGAAGCACCACCTGTAGTTCTCTTATAGAAGTGCACAAAGGAACAGAGATCTTTTGGACCATGATGCCGCACCCTGGTCGTCCGATTCACCATCAATATTGAGGGCAAGCTATGAATTCCATATCTCGAAAAAATACTGCAAAATTGCAGATGTGACACACGAATCAGGTAAGCAAAATTTATGAGAATGCCAAAATTATTAATGTTAACAGCAGGATATGGAAAAGCAATGCTCTCATTCTCTCTATGTAATTTTTTTTTCATTATTATTTTTTGTTGATAAATAAAAGCAACTTTATTAGGAAAGTATCAAGATTGGTTACTGCCTTGAATAGTTAGTTTTTATTGATCCTCCAGTGCATACCATATGTTAAATTACTGGTTTCTTAACTAATTCCAAAAACCCAAATCTACTTCGTGTTTAGGAATGAAAATTTCCTGATGAAAAAAAAAAATCGAAATCAAAATTTGATGATTATCACACCACATAAGCAAATAATGATAAAATGGAATACAATAATAGAAAACCCACCTTGGCATGGCTGAAGATTGTTCAATGATTACATGTTTGATTTGAGGAAACATTGAACTGAGGGCAGCAAACTTGGTTTGAACAACACTTGAAAAAGGGCATCCGGAGGCGTAGAGCAAAACGGCAGTATATACATGTATATGACCAGAGCTAAAAGCTCTGTCAAGAGATTCCCCATCCATCTTCAAAGATAGCAAAATTAATTGTGAAAGTAAATAAATAACAAAATGAAATTACACCCAAAAAACAAAAACAAAAACAAAAAAAGTAGTCCAACAATCTGCATGTTGTCAAGTAGTTCAAGCAATTCATGTGGAAATCTCAAATCCATAATAGATTTAATTTTATTTATTTTTTAAATAAAAACCACAATCCTTATAGTCATTGTTGTTACCGACTTACCTTCACAATTTGTTGATTCCTTGCCTATTTTTCTCTCTCAGGGTTCTCGAGGGGGAGTTATTACCATTGATGTCGTTTTTCAACACCTTCATTGCAAATTTGCAACTAACTTTATATGATCATCACAATTTTGAGTTGAAGTTGGACACTTCAACTTCAACCATTTCGTGCTATAATAACTTGAGGCATTGTGTTGAAGATAAGATCATGGGATTTTTATTGATAAGTCCAATTTAGAAGTGTTTTAACCCAAGAAGTCCATGAAGGAATTTTTTAACCCATTTAGTCCCATGTATGTATAGTTTTATTCCATAAAGTCCATTTTCTTGATTTACACTATTTTCTTGGACACTTACGCCCTTATATTTAATTTTGATACCCTTATAAATATTTTTTGAACGATTAGCAATTTAATGATGTGAACATTCATATTTTAAAATTCACATTGATAGGAATGTAAAATTGGCCTGTGGGCAGCCCGAAACTCCCCTGCGAGCTAGGGCGGGCCCGGCCCGTTAACAATGTGAATATTCACATTGACATGTTAACATTCACATTAATAGGAGTGTAAAATTGGCCCCCGTCTCGTGGCGGTGCAAAACCCGCCCGCGACCCATGGGCGGCCCGGGACGGGCCCGGTCCGGCCCGTTGACAATGTGAATATTCACATTGACATGTTAACATTCACATTGATAAGAGTATAAAACTGGTCTAAGCACATTTTCTGACCCGGCCCGGCCCGGCCCGTTGACAATGTAAATATTCACATTGACATGTTAACATTCACATTGATAGGAGTGTAAAAGCCCGCGCCTCGTGGCTGCCGCAACCCGTCCCACGCCCGTGGGCGGGCCCGGCTCGGCCTGTTTGACAAATGTAAATGTTTACATTGACATGTTAACATTCACATTGATAAGAGTATAAAACTGGAACAAAAGCCCAAGGCGGGCGCCCGACCCGGCCCAGCCCGGGCCAGCCCGTTGACAATGTGAATATTCAGATTGACATGTTTACATTCACATTAATAGGAGTATAAAATTGGCCCCCGTCCCGTGGCGGCGCGAAACCCGTCCGCGGCCCATGGGCTGTCCCGGGGCGGGCCCGGTCCGCCCGTTGACAATGTGAATATTCATATTACATGTTAACATTCACATTGATAAAGAGTATAAAATTGCCGCGCCCATGGACGGCCAAAAGCCCGCCGCGGCCCGGGAACGGGCCCGGCCCGACTCGTTGACAATGTGAATATTTCACATTGACATGTTAACATTCACATTGATAATAGTGTCAAATTGGCCCGCAGCTCGAGGCAGGCTTGGCCTGACCCGTGACAATGTGAATATTCACATTTGATTGTTAACATGCAACTTGATAGGAGTTGTAAAATTAGCCCACGCCCCGTTGGTTGCCCGAAACCCGCCCACGCCCGTGGGCGGCCAGGGGCGGGCCCGACCGGCCTGTTGGCAATGTGGAAATATTCACAATGACATGTTAAAATTCACATATTGAAAAGAGTGTACATTGGCTCGTGACCCGTGGGCAGCCCGAAGCCCGACCTCGGGCCGGGGTGGCCCGGCCTGTTGGCAATGTGAATATTCACATTGACATATTAACTATTCAACATTGATAGGAGTGTAAAAATTGGCTCGCAGCCCGTGGGCGGCCCGAACCCAAACGCAGCCCGAGGCGGGCTTGGCCCGACCCGTGACAATGTGAATATTCACATTGACATGTTTAACATAACATTGATAAGAAGTGTAAATTTGTCCGCTGCCCGAAGCTCGCCAGCGGCCCGAGGTAGACCCGAACCCAAACCCGGGCCGCCACGGCTTTGGGCCGCCATGGGACGCGAGTCAATTTTACACTCCTATCAATGTGAATGTTAACTTGTCAATGTGAATATTCATATTGTGAACGGGCCGGCCCGGGCGACAGGCTGGTTTCGGGCCGCCCACGGGCCACGGGCCAATTTTACACTCCTATCAATGTGAATGTTAATATGTCAATGTGAATATTCACATTGTCAATGGATCGGACCGGGCTCGCCCCGGGCCGCCCATGAGACGCGAGTCAATTTTACACTCTTATCAATGTGAATGTTAACATGTCAATGTGAATATTCACATTGTCAACAGGCCGGGCCGAGCCCGCCCCGGGCCGTGGGCTAGTTTCGGGCAGCCATGGGGCACGGGCTAATTTTATACTCTTATCAATGTGAATGTTAACATGTCAATGTGAATATTCACATTATCAACGGGTCGGGCCGGGCCCGCCCAGGGTAGACCACGAGTCGCGGGCGAGTTTCGGGCTGGCTATAGGCCACGGGCTAATTTTACACTCATATCAATGTGAATGTTAACATTTCAATGTGAATATTCACATTGTCAACGGGCCGGGTCGGGCCCGCCCTGACCCAAGCCCGGGCCCGGGCTTCGGGCTGCGCACGGGTCACGGGCCAATTTTACACTCTTGTCAATGTTAATGTTAATGTTAATATGTCAATGTGAATATTCATATTGTAAACGGGCCCGCCCCGGGCGGCAGGCTGGTTTCGGGCCGCCCACGAGCCGCAGGCCAATTTTACACTCCTATCAATGTAAATGTTAACTTGTCAATGTGAATATTCATATTATCAACGAGTCGGGTTAGGCCTATTTTTTTGGCCTGTGGGCCGACTCGGCCCGACTCGAATTTTTCCGGGCACCCACGAGGATCGATATGGGTCGGGCCCCTATACATTGACGATATGAACATTTACATTGACAGTGTAAACATTCACATTAAGGGTATTTTGGTAATTATGTCACCCATAAGACTTATTGAAACATAAGAAAATAATGTGAACTAAATGGAACATAAGTAGATGAAAATGGTATTTTGGTCTTCTTATCTCAAATTGGACCTAATGGAATAGTCAAAAAGAATATGGGTTGGATGGAATAAAACTCTTAGAAAATGGATTTATCAAAAAAGCTCCCTAAGATCATATGTCAAACATATTAGAGAACTTATGATTTGTGTTTATCTTGATTTTTCTATTTTTTGATTTACAGCTAAGGGATTTGGTTGGTATCTTCTACCCCCTCTCTCTACCCAATCTTGGCCGAACCACTTTAAACTCTTTGGCCCCGTTTGGTGTAGCTGTTAAAACAACTTATCAATTATAGCTTAATAGATTATAAATTATGACTTTAATCAGAAGTTGTTAATCTGTTTGGTATAACTGTTAGATTATAGATTTAAGTTGCTGAGTAGTGTTTGTTAAATAAGCTGCGAAATAGTTTTTTCAATTAATTTTTATTTTTTGTTTGTCTGCATTTCTCATAAAAAATAATAATAATAATCTATAGTCCATTTGAGTCTTTTTCTATTTTTAAAAAAAATAAAAAATAAAAAAATTTAAGAGTATAACCATAAATTAACATGTCCACAGCAGAAGCTGATAATCAGAAGCAAGGGATGAGCAGCTTCTCAGAATCAGCTTTTTTGAGTTAAAATAAGCTGTTAGAATCAGAAGCTATTTGAAATAAGTTTAACCAAACAGTCCAAAATAACTTTTGCAAAGCTAAAAGCCATAAGTTAGCTCTGAAAAGCTGAAACAAAAACCCCTCTTGTGTTCTTGTTGTTCTATTTTAGTTTACCTAATATTTAACCCCCAACAAATAAATAAATAAATAAATAAATGTTAATGACAGGAAAGAACAATCCTTGTATCATCTTTAAAAGTATGTCAAGCTCAATTTACAGGTATAAAAGCTCATCAAATTTATGAACTCAAAACCAAATAATACACATAAACACATACAAAATTAAAAGAGAAAAAAGAAAAAGAATGGAAATTGAAAGCTGATACCTCAAGAGGCGAAGAAGAAGAGATCGTAGTGGGGCATTGAAACTGTAGATCGTGGATAAACTTATTGGATTGAGGACTACACCTTGATGTACATACAGACGCTGATGAAGACGAAGAAGCTACGTATCGAATCGAAGACGCCGCTATGAACATACATATCAATACAACATATTTCTTCGATGCTGCCATTAAATTATCCTATCAATTATGCACCCCTTCTCTCTCTCTCTCTACAATTTTAAGCCTCGTGGTGCGCAAATTCGGTATCTCTCTTTTCTACCAACGCAGCTTTGCAAATTCCCTCGGCCACTTCCTCGTCTTCTTCGTGTACTGGTCCTAGGTTGTTTGACTAAAACCCACAATAATTTGAGTGATGTACAAAATACTTCCGCCCTGTTTGATTTAAGTTTTAAAATTATACTTTGAGTTTAGAGCTATGATTTAAGGTCCGTTTGTTTTTAGAGGTAGAATGGAAGAGATTAATAATTAAAAAATTGTAAGTAAAGGAATTGATAGTAAAGGAATTAAGTAAAATTATGTTTGTTTTAATGATAGTTATTAGTGTAGGAATTGTTAAATTATTTTTATATAAAATAATAAAATAAATATAAAAAATTAAACATTAATATTTACATAAAAAATTCTCAATATATAAAAAATAAAAAAAATAAAAAAATTTCTAGTCCCCTCACTATTTTTCTAATACCACCTCCACCTCCTCTATCCCAATCTCCCTTACAACCTCCATCTTAATTCCCTCATCCATCATAATCTCTTCCCTAACTCTACAAACAAATACAACACTAAATAACTCCATCTCCATCTTAATCCCCTCTCATCTATTACACTCCAAAACAAACGGGGCCTAAGTGTTTAATTGTAAGTTGAATTTTGAAACGAAAAAAATTATTTGATAATAAGTTTTAAAATTTGTTTTGAAAACAAAATTTTGAATTTTGAATTTTTAAAGGAGTTTTGAGTTTTGAAAAGATTTTTAAGCTGTATTTTGAATTTTGAGTTTTTAAATTTTGAATTTTATTTTGAATTTTTTGAATTTATTTTTTTTTAATATTAAAAAAATGTTTAAGAAAATTTTATTTTTTATTTTAAATATATAATTTTTATTTATATATATATATATATTTATTTTGTAAATATTTTAATTTTTTTATTCTAATATTTTAAACTCAAAATACAACTCCACACTTAAATCGTAGCTAAACATATAAATCAAAACTCAATTTAAAAATTATTTTCAAAACTTATAACTAAACATATAACTCGAATCTCCACACTACTTTTAAAACTTTACACTTAATTCGTAACCAAACACATAGCCAAATAAAACCAAACCAAATCAAGTCATAAGTTCTATAAAATGGGGTTGGCAACATGAATCATTTTTTTCCACACAACTCTAAATCGTAACTAAATACATAATTTAAAACTCAATTCAAAAATTATTTTCAAAAGTTATAACTAAGGACTGATTTGACATCATTTATAAAATCTAACAAGCCAAAAAGTCATTAAAAAATAAAAAAAAAATTATACTATTTACCTTTATTTTGGCGGGAAATATGTCAGATGAAAAAAAATAAAAACAGTACTGCCACAAAATTATGCAACCACAACTTCATATAAAAAAAAGAAAAGAAAACGTGGCACACTTGAAGCCACACATTCCCATTAAAAATAAATTTATTTATTTATTTTTAAAAGAGATAGAAAGTCAGCACAGTAATGCTGACTGTGTCAGGGAGGGCAATTTCCTAATTTTTCTATTTTATACAATATTTTAATACACATTTTTTTTGTCGTAAAAACTCAAAAAATTATCCCAAACCACCATCTTTTTTTCCTTTACTTTTTTATTCAAAAAGTCAAAAAATGCACTTATATAGTTCATCCCAAACAATTTCTAAACACATAACTCGAAACTGCACAATACTTTCAAAACTTTAAACTTAAATCGTAACCAAACACATAACCAAACCAAACCAAATCAAGTCTTAAGTTCTATCAAATGGGGTTGGCAACATGAATCCATTTTTTACACTTGACTCTATTCAAAGCCATTTCGTTAGTCAAATTAAGAAGATTCATATATCTATTTATTACACAAGTTCACGTCAATCTAAGTCTATCGCTTCCCTTAACATTACCATCTACCGTCACTGTATCGCATCTCTTCATTTTGCCTCTATTGGTCCCTATTGTATATGACTAAATCATCTCAATCTATTATCTCTTAACTTATCTTATATCGGTACTACTCATACCCATTGTACAATATACTAATTCCTAACTCACATCCATCTTAACATTATCATCTTAGTAACACTCATCTTCTTTAGATGTTGTTTCTTAGCTGCCTAACATTCTATCTCATACAATATTGCTGGTCTAATAACCGTTTTATAAAACTTCCATTTTAGCCTAATGGGTAATTGCACAGTAAATATTTAAAAATATAACAAAAAAATTAAAATATTTAAAAATATATTTATAAAATAAAATAAAAATATAAAAATATATTTAAAATAAAAATTATATATTTAAAATAAGAAAATAATTTTTTAAAATATTTTTTAAAAAATGCAGCACATAAATATATAAAATATAGTGCACATTAAAATAAAATAAATAAATACTTAAAATATAAAATATTTACCCTAGAAAATAAAATTAAGAAATTTTTAAATATTTAAAAAAAATAAATACAAAAAATTTCAAAATAACTCAAAAAATATTATTGAAAAGAGTTTGGTTTTGAATTTTGAAAAGAATTTTAAATTGAGTTTTGAGTTGTGTATTTGGTTATGAGTTTTTGAAAATAATTTTTAAATTGAGTTTTGAGTAGTTTTAAATTGTGTGTTTGGTTATGAATTTTGAAATTTTTTTTATTGGAATTGTGATTCCAAAAGAGAACCGAACGTGGCCTTCTTTTTTTTTTAATTATTTAATTTTTAAATCTGATAATCCCATTGTCGAACTAATTCAACCTCCAAATTGGTCGACTTTTTCAGTACATTATTTTGATTCTGGAATTTAAAATCATCAATTTGATACAATTATTAAGTTAGTTAGTGATTGGGAGAGTCCTATCTCTAGTTGGTTTTCATAATTAGAGGATTTTGTTGAGCCTACGTTGGTGTATGACGGATCCTGTATTGATTATTTAAACTGTTCAATATATAAGACTTGTCAAGTGTTTTATTTTTGTAAAAATTCAAGTAGATTAGATATTAATAGTCACTTGACACAAATGTGATACGATCAAATAGCTATCGATATCGGATTAACGTGATTTTTTAATAGAGATAAAGTACTCGACGAGCTCTACATATTGAACGGTTCAGATTATTAATGTGAATTATGTGATGGGCCTACAAAGACCTAACAACACCCTCCAATTTAAATTAGACGGAGAGAAACCTTTCCCCTCTTAATTTGTCTAACCAAATTATATCAAGAGATTTTTATTGATAAATCTCATTTAGAAGTGTTTTAACCTAAAAAGTCCATGAAGAAATTTATTAACCCATTTAGTACCATGTATGTATAGTTTTATTTCATAAAGTCTTTTTTCTTGATTTACACTATTTTTTTAGACTCTTATGCCCTCATATTTAATTTTGATACCCTTACAAATATTTTTTGAACGGTTAGCAATTTTATGATGTAAATATTCATATTTTAACATTCACATTGGTAAGAATGTAAAATTGGCCCGTGGCCCGTGGGTGGCCCGAAGATCGCCCCCCAGTCGGGGCGGGCCTGGTCCGTTGATAATGTGAATATTCACATTGACATGTTAACATTTACATTGATAGAAGTGTAAAATTGGCTCGCGGCCCGTGGGCGGCCCGAAACCCGCCCTAGGCCTGTGGGCTGCCCGGGGCGGGCTCGGCCCGGCCCGACCCGTTGACAATGTGAATATTTAGATTAAGACATTAACATTCACGTTGATAGGAGTGTAAAATTGACCTGCGGCTCGTAGACGGCCCGAAACCCGCCCGCGGGCCCGGCTCGGCCCGTTTACAATGTGAATATTCACATTGATAGGAATGTAAAATTGGCCCGCGGCCCGAAGCCCGCACGTTGCCCGGGGCGGGGCGAGCTATAAATATTCATATTTTAACATTCACATTGGTAAGAATGTAAAATTGGCCCGTGGCCCGTGGGCGGTCCGAAGATCGCCCCTGGGCCGGGGCGGGCTCGGTCCGCTGACAATGTGAATATTCACATTGACATGTTAACATTCACATTGATAGAAGTGTAAAATTGGCCCGCGGCCCGTATGCGGCCGAAAACCCGCCCGTGGCCCGTGGGCTGCCCGGCCCGGGCCGGGCCGGGCCCGTTGACAATGTGAATATTCACATTAACATATTAATATTCACGTTGATAGGAGTGTAAAATTGACCCGCAGCCTGTAGGCGGTACAAAACCCGCCCGCAGGCCCGGCCCAGCCCGTTTACAATGTGAATAATCACATTGACATGTTAACATTCACATTGATATGAATGTAAAATTGGCCCGCGGCCCGTGGGCGGCCAGAAGCCCGCCTGTTGCCCGGGGTGGGGCGGGCTGTAAATACTCATATTTTAACATTCACATTGGTAAGAATGTAAAATTGATCCGTGGCACGTGGGCGGTCCGAAGATCACCCTTGGGCTAGGCTCGGGCCCGGCCCGTTAACAATGTGAGTATTTACATTGACATGTTAACATTCGCATTGATAGAAATGTAAAATTGGCCCGTGGCCCGTGGACGGGCTGAAACCCGCCCGTGGCCCGTGGGTTGCCCGGGCGGGCCCGGCCCGGCCCGTTGACAATGTGAAGATTCACATTAACATAATAACATTCACGTTGATAAGAGTGCAAAATTGACCCGCGGCCCGTAGGAGGCCCGAAACCTGCCCGTGGGCCCGGCCCGGCCCGTTTACAATGTGAATATTCACATTGATAGGAATGTAAAATTGGCTCGCGGCCCGTGGGCGGCCAGAAGCCCGTCCGTTGCTTGGGCCGGGGCGAGTTGTAAATATTCATATTTTAATATTCACATTGGTAAGAATGTAAAATTGGCTCGTGGCCCGTGGGCGGTCCGAAGATCGCCCTCGGGCCGAGGCGGGCTCGGTCCGTTGACAATGTGAATATTTACATTGACATGTTAACATTCACAATGATAGAAGTGTAAAATTGGCCCGCGGCCCGTGGGCGGCCC